CTCTGACCAGCCAGGGGACTGAAGACTGTCTGCTGCTGTTCATTGTTGCGCTCTGAACAATGAAGGCTCAGTTCATGCAATAATAGAGTGAACCCGGATCTGCCATGTTTCACCATATCTATCTATCTGATGCGGATCTGTGCTTTTTACACAGCAAAGTGATTATTCCTCCGTGTTACTGCCAGATTTTTTACATCTGCTGTCTGCATTATGTCTACAGGCTCACAACACATATTTATTGGCTTTGGGTCTAAAACTTTTATTTCTTAGATTTTATATTATTTGACAGTTTTAGAGGCTCTAAATTCCATTAAAACTCAAAGATGAAGTGAATAAAGTATCTATGAAATCCTGTTGGTGACGAACGTGTTCATTAAGAGGAGAACAATGCAGCTCCTTCTGTTGCTTTCAGGAACTCTGCACCAATCAGCTGACGGAGCAAAGACACAGCTGGACTTGCAGCCATCTTAACTCCTACCTCCATCATGCATGCGGAAAGGATACTTTGATTTTAATGCCCTTCATTTAATAAAAGGGTGAAATAATTTACACTATAAAAAACCTAAAATCAATGGGTGATCTGAAAGGATTAGTCTGAGAGCAGCAGAGGGCGCCCCCTGTTCTCATTACTATCACTGCATCATTTTGATAATTTAAATGGAGAAAAAGGAAAATATCAGCATAAAGAATTGGCCCCAAAAATCAGCAGCACATATTGGGGGATCAGTTAGTTAAAAGCACCTGCATCAGTGGTTCGGTAGAGCGGTACGTTTATGCTGGGCGGACAGGGGTTAGGTCTCCCTCCTTCCTGTTCAGACGGGCCCCCGCTTGGATCACCTGGATGCTAAACACACCTGAACAAATAATCCCAAAGGTTGAAGGTTATATAAAAACAGGCTCATCTGTTGGAACACGACCTGCTTTAATGCCAGATGGATCAGCCAGCGGTTTGGATATGAGGCGACCTCCTTCTCCAATAGAACAGAGAGAAAAAATGAAAATAAAAATAAGCAGCATATTTATTGCATGTGTTAGAAAATCCCCGACTTAAAGCAGCTCCAACCTGAGTCATCTGTGCAGAACTGGGAGGGAAGCTGGATGCTTAATTTGCAACTAAAATGTAGATTATTTTCTCACTGCAATTTTAATGAAAGGATTACTAAAGGAAGTACGGTTTGTCGTCATAGTTTTTTATTGAATTAAAGAAAGTTAATGGTAGAATTCATCTGTTTAAAGTGACATTATTATTATTATTTTATTTCTGTTCAAAGTTTGTATTCACTTTATTGTGGGATAAGAAAAATGCAGTTTTTTATTCCCATCTGACTCATTCTGAGGAATTCTAATCTCCACAATCAGACAAAGTTTCCTTATTTTGTAAAACATTTATTTCACTGCTTTGTCCTTTTCTGATGAATTATCACTCAGCAAGCACCACTAATGTTCATTTCCTTTAAGTTGGATACAATACATTTATTAAAGTTTTCATTTGATCTGAAACTTGAAATAATGGAAGACTTTCTTTCTGATTTCCAATTAATCCAATAATGGGACCTCTGACTCTTCTTGGTGTTTATGTCCTGCAGGGTGTCCCGCTCCTCAGCGGTCCCGCTGGCTGCCTTTCTGTGGACCTGGAGGAGGATTTAGCCGTTTGCTCAGACATGTTGCTCTGGGATCCACTCTCAGGCCTGGAGGAGGTTTCACTCTCAGCTTCATGAGTCATTTCTCCAGCTTCACTCGTTGAAGCTCGGTGGATCTGATGAGCCGGAGCTCCCGCCTCGTGTCTCTGGGAGCCGGAGCTCTCACTGCCAGTCAAGGGGCGGTTCTGGGACTCTGGTCGGCTTTCGGCTGCGTTTGATGGGTCTGCCGAGCTTCGACGTTCATCACTCTGTTTTTGTAAAGAACAAAGAATAATAAAAATTAAAAATCTGCAAACAGAGAAAAAGGTACATTAAAGGACAAATTAATGTCATTTAATTCCTTCTGTTTTATAGAAGCATTATAATCTGCAAATAGCATGGTCTCACTTAGCATGGCCAGTTAGCATGGTCTCAGTTAGCATGGTCACACTTAGCATGGCCAGTTAGCATGGTCACAGTTAGCATGGTCTTAGTTAGCATGGTCACACTTAGCATGGCCAGTTAGCATGGTCACAGTTAGCATGGTCTCAGTTAGCATGGTCTCACATAGAATGGCCAGTTGGCATGGTCTCACTTAGCATGGCCAGTTAGCATGGTCACAGTTAGCATGGTCTTAGTAAGCATGGTCACACTTAGCATGGTCACAGTTAGCATGGTCTTAGTTAGCATGGTCTCACTTAGCATGGCCTGTTAGCATGGCCACAGTTAGCATGGTCTTAGTTAGCATGATCTCACTTAGCATGGCCAGTTAGCATGGTCTCACTTAGCATGGCCAGTTAGCATGGTCACAGTTAGCATGGTCTCAGTTAGCATGGTCTCACTTATCATGGCCAGTTAGCATGGTCAAAGCTAGCATGGCCAGTTAGCATGGTCACTGTTAGCATGGTCTCACTTAGCATGGTCAGGTAGCATGGTCACAGTTAGCATGGCCAGTTAGCATGGTCTCACTTAGCATGGCCAGTTAGCATGGTCACTGTTAGCATGGTCTCACTTAGCATGGTCAGTTAGCATGGTCACAGTTAGCATGGCCAGTTAGCATGGTCACTGTTTGCATTGGTCTCAGTTAGCATGGTCTCACTTATCATGGCCAGTTAGCATGGTCACGGCTAGCATGGTCTCAGTTAGCATGGTCTCAGTTAGCATGGCCAGTTAGCATGGTCACAGTTAGCATGGTCTTAGTTAGCATGGTCACACTTAGCATGGCCAGTTAGCATGGTCACAGTTAGCATGGTCTCACTTAGCATGGCATGTTAGCATGGTCACAGTTAGCATGGTCTTAGTTAGCATGATCTCACTTAGCATGGCCAGTTAGCATGGTCTCACTTAGCATGGCCAGTTAGCATGGTCTCACTTAGCATGGCCAGTTAGCATGGTCTTAGTTAGCATGGTCTCACTTAGCATGGTCACAGTTAGCATGGTCTTAGCATGGTCTCACTTAGCATGGCCAGTTAGCATGGTCTCACTTAGCATGGCCAGTTAGAATGGTCACAGTTAGCATGGTCTCAGTTAGCATGGTCTCACTTATCATGGCCAGTTAGCATGGTCAAAGCTAGCATGGCCAGTTAGCATGGTCACTGTTAGCATGGTCTCACTTAGCATGGTCAGGTAGCATGGTCACAGTTAGCATGGCCAGTTAGCATGGTCTCACTTAGCATGGCCAGTTAGCATGGTCACTATTAGCATGGTCTCACTTAGCATGGTCAGTTAGCATGGTCACAGTTAGCATGGCCAGTTAGCATGGTCACTGTTTGCATTGGTCTCAGTTAGCATGGTCTCACTTATCATGGCCAGTTAGCATGGTCACTGTTTGCATTGGTCTCAGTTAGCAGGCTGACGTAGAACTAACTGGCCTGCAGGAGTTAACGGAAAAAACAGATTTTAATACAGGACTTTTTTTTTTTTAATAGAAATTTTTTAATTTTGGGACAATAATGTCTGATAAAGAGTACATTTTTATACATGTTTAAGCCAGAATTATTTGACTTTTAAATATGACTTCCTTACGACGAAAAATAATAATGCATAAGAAATAATGAACCGCCGAGCTGACTGCAACCATGTCGGGATTTTTCCACACAGTAAAAAAAGCTCCTTTCTAATTTTAATGGTTACAGATATTTTCCTGGACTATGTGAGAAAATCTCCTCCATTGGAGAGAAAGATGTAAAATACTTACAGAAGACCCTCAGGTTTATCTGCTTTTTCATGATGAACCTCTGGAAGAAGAAAAAGCTAAAGACAGGAATAGGTGGAGAAAATACATTAAAGGGAGCCGCTGAAATAAGATGGAGTGACCATCAATCAGTGGCCCTGACCTGGTGGCCCCTGTCTGTGTTTCTGCTGCTGCTGGGTGAAAGTGATTGGCCCCGCTGCGGTGGGCACAGGCCCCAGGTCCTCAGTCGATCCAGACCCGCCGCTGAACGGGCGGTGGTGTTGATGTTGGGGGGCGGGATGCGTGCTGGTAGATCCCAGGTACCTTTGAAGTCTGGCCAGGCTCCGCCTTTCTGCAAGAACCACACAGAGACCTGACCCAGAACTATTCACTGTGGGGCCACTTTAAATGAAAGCAGGAGGTGTAACTACCTTCACCCCTGGGAGCAGGTGCCCTCTGCTGTCTGCTACAAAGGAAGAGGGACCCACCCGTGTGCGTGGACGCTGTTAGAGAAACTTAGAATATTTAGTAGGGATCAAAATTAAAACAGTGAGAAACAGGCTGCAGATAAACAGCTCACCTCTTTAAAGGGTTTAGTCACACACCAGTTCTGCAGCCTCTGGCTTCTGAAGGCGCTTTCATACTTTATTCAATTAAAATATTTCAGCAAATTAGATCATTTATAAAAAATTATATAAATATATTTTAGTTTTTTATTGACAGAAAGTTTGTTTACCTGGTTAGCCGAGAAACTGGAAGACATGCTGCATCAGTTTGCATCCGTTGTGTTGATCCGTTGCTTAGCAACTCAGTCAAACTTAAAGGTGATTGGTAGAAAGCCGATCAGGAAGATTTCTAAAAGTATAGGCTGTAAATTTTTATGTTTTCATGCAACAATAAATTATTACTGCCGCTTGAATGTGGTGTTATTTAATTCTTTTTATATTTGAACATTGCCTAATTAATATAACATTAAATTAACCATTTGGAAATCAAAGATACATTTCCATATCTTTGATCTCATTTTGAGTGAGTAACATCAGGGACATTTTTCATCATTTCTATAAGTTTTTAAGTAATGAATAATAATAATTAAACAGGAAACCCCCATGTTTAACTATACTTTTATTTCTTCTAAATCATAACAGATTCTTCCGTATTTCCAAGAGGCTTTTATTTTGAAAAAAAGAATTTGCCGGAAGTGTGTGTATTTATCTTCCGGTGTCAGAAACAACTAGCTAACGTGCTAATCAACAGAGCTAGCGAAATTAGACAACAAACGTTTGTCTTTATTCTGCTTTAAGTTTTCAGAACAAACATTACTGTTGGGATTATTTGGGATTATCAGGAAAGGCTGGTTTAGTTTTCATTCTGGTTATTTTTAACCTTCTCCGGAGCAGGTGGGATGGAGGGACCGTCCTGCCGGTTAGCTGCCCAGCCGGCAGAGGAGCTCCGGCCGCCGGGCAGCCTGGGCTCCGGCGGCGCCGCCGGGTCGGAACCCACGCGGGACATGAGGACCCACTTCCGGGTGTGTCGCTTCATGATGGAGACAGGTGTGAGGCTCTTCTTCTTCTTCTTCTTATGGGGTTTTATGGCGGTTGGCAGACTTGTGAATTGTGCATTACCGCCACCAACTGATATGGAGTAAAGCAAGAAAACAGAAAACGATTCACCCCCCCCCCCCCCAAAAAAAAAAAAAAAAAAAAAAAAAAAAAAAAAAAAAAAAAAAAAAAAAAAAAAAAAAAAACCTGTGTAACTTAAACCAACATAATACTAAATCACATTTGCCCATATAATTTTTAATTTACTCTAGGTCATCTTAACTCTGCCAGTTTCTGATGGTCCCATCGGTCCTCCCATCATACTTCCAACCATCTCCCAGTTCAAATCTTTAATGTCCAGATATTTTTCTGCAGCCTTCACTATTATTTTGATTTTTTCCGTTTTTTTTGTTGTCTGTGCAGTACAATTAATTACTTCTACCATGAAAAGAACAAAATTTGTCTTTTTAACAATAAGTGAGTCTTCATCAATTTTTGGAGATTTCTCTAGAGGTTTGGAATTTGCTGTGTGTTGAACTGTAGGTTTGGGTTTTTCTGACTGAGATGGGATCCTTTTTGCAGCTTCAGCGTAGGTTATTCCGAGCTCAAATTTCATTTTTTTAATTTCCTCAGACCTTTTGCTTGCTTCACAGCCGCGATAGGCAGCAGTATGTTCTCCACCACAATTACAGCATTTTATTTTAGCTTCTTTTCCACATTTTCCGTACTCATGTTCTCCTGCACACCTTCCACACCTCTGTTTCCCTTTACAAACTGCTGCAATGTGACCGAATTTTTGGCATTTGAAACATCTCAATGGTGGAGGATTGTAGATTTTGACATTATAGCTTATGTAACCGATGAATACTTTGCTTGGTAATTGCTCTTCCTCAAATTTAATTAGCACTGATAAACTGTCAGATCTTTCTCCGTTTCTTGTTGTTTTTAACCGTTTTACTTCTTTTACTTTTGCACCGCTTATGTTTTCCAGAATCTCTTTTTCAGAAATTTTTAGAGGAACTCCTCCAATGACTCCCCTGCTGATCTTTTTGTTCTCCATTAGGCTGCACTGAACTCTTATCCCGTCAATTTTGTTGATCCGTATTGCTTTGCCTTGCTGGGCGCTGTCTCTGCAGTTAATTAGCAGGTCTCCACTGTACAGAATTCTGGCACCTCTGACTTCTCCGACAAGTTTATTGATGGTTTTTGTTAAGTGAACCGGATTCCAATTTGTAAAAGAGTCTGCCTGATTAACGACTTTGAATATGACTTTGAATTCATTTTGTTGTGCTGTGGAATGTATGGAATGATCATCACTGGATTGTTCTGAACTAGATTCCCCTTGAACTGATCTCTGTTTTTTCCGCTTTTTCTCATTTTTTGATGTTGCTATCTTCCAACCTTCATTGTCACTATTTCCCTCTTCCATCCCACAAGAATCGCTTCCTGTTTCCTCACTACTCACGGCCCAAGACATTTCTCCATAAGCAGCTTCAAAACACGCGCCATGCACCAAACGACCATCCACATGCCAAAGGGCCGGTGTGAGGCTCTGTTTTCCTCTTTCTGATTTAATCAGGGGATAAACTGATAGAAAAGTCTAAATGATTTAACCAGAGATGAGGATTTAGATCTAGTGACCACAGATAGGACTTTACTCAACTGCTAAATTCATTAAAATGTTTGTTTATAAAAGTTTAAACATGTTATAATTAGTTAATTCCCGTTAGAATCATAAATCTCCAGGATTTTGGTTAGAAATCCAGCAGAAAGGTGCTGCAGTGAATAAAGGTTTAGTAATGATTTTAGTTAAAGTCTATCAGATACAGGAATTAATTTAATCCTGTGAAATTCACCTGTTTTCCAGGAGTGAAGCTGCGCATGCGCTCTGTCCCTGTGGCCACAGCCTGCCTCCTATATCACCGCTTCTTCCAGCGGGTCACATCGCAGCTCTATGAGCCCTACCTGGTGGCCATGAGCTGCTTATACCTGGCTGGTAAAGTGGAGGAGCAGCACATTCGCACCCGTGACATCATCAATGTGAGCCACAGGTAATCCACACAGGAGGGATTATTAGCAAATATTCATCATCTGCTCCAATGTGTGCTAAACTAAACTATCCTCCATTATAAGAAAAACATTTATTCACCATAGTTTCTATAACTGATTATAATGTTAATCAAAGTTGTCTCTCCTGGTGATCAGGTTCTGTCTCTCTAGTGATCAGGTTCTGGACTCTGTCCCTCTTATTGGGTCTTATTTAGACTCAGATGGATTTAGGTTTAACTTTAGCGTATGCCTTTTAAAGGTGTCGTAAAAAAAAAAAAACACATTTTAGACCAGTTTATACCACCAGTCTGGTCTCATGCCAACTGTAAAGCATCCTGAAACCATTCATGTGTGGGGTTGCTTCTCAGCCAAGGGAGTCGGCTCTCTCAAAGTCTGACCTAAAAACAGCCATGAATAAAGAATGGAACCAGAATGTCCTCCGACAGCAACTTCTCCCAACCGTCCAAGAGCAGTTTGGTGATGAACGATGCCTTTTCCAGCATGATGGAGCACCTCACCATGAAGCAAAGGTGATATCTAACTGGCTCAGGGAACAAAAACAGAGAGATGTTGGGTCCATGGCCTGGAAACTCCCCTGATCTTAATCCCATTGAAAACGTGTGGTCAATCATCAAGAGACGGGTGGACAAACGAAAACCTAGGAATTCTGACAAAATGCAAGCATTGATTGTGCAGAATGGACTCTATCAGTCAGGATTGATTGAGAGCAGCCAGGGAGAATTGCAAAGGTCCTAAGAAGAGGGGTCAACACTGCAAATATTGACCTGCTGCATTAACTCATTCTGTCAATAAAAGCTTCTGTTAATAAGAATATGATTGCAATTGTATTTCTGTATGTGATGACATCATCTGACATACTTGAATACCAGAGGGCAGCAGATCAGGTGAAAATATAATATTTGTGTCATTCTCATTATTTTTGGCCATGACTGTAGAGCAGCAGGAGCCTCATGAGCTTCTGAGCATCTGAGGCGCTTCAGAGGCAGCAGCTTCTGGACGCGCCTCATCAACCAACCAGAGAAGCTGATCTGGGAGCTGGCAGGGAGTCAGACACAGCACTGCTGATGGAGAGCGCTATGATCTCTCCTCTGAAACAGTTTATTAACGCCTAAATTAACTTCAAATGTAGAAACCTGCCGGCAGAATATGTTGGCTTTTATTATCCTGCTGCCTGCAGTTTGTAGCACAGACCTGAAAAACGCTAACATCTACTTCCAGCCGCCACCAACAGGAGGGGAAAACCCTGGAGAGGCTCCCGGGCCTGAGGCAGCTGCTGCTGGGGATTCCCAGTGACAGCGCAGCGCCGGTATGTGGGGGTCTGAGAGGCTCCCACAGAGAAATAATCTTTGAAGGCAGGATGGTAATCTGGATGAACTGACTGCACAGACCATGTTTTCAGGAGGACTTTCTCACTTCAACATAGATTCTAACTACTTTCTACCCGCTGATCACAGCTAATATAGCAAAGCTGCTCTCTAGAATTGAACACAGGAGCATCAGACGCATCTGCACTCACTTTACTGGACGTCTGACCTTAAGGTGGATCAGAGATAAAGCAGCAGAAGCTTAACAAATTCCAGATTATATCTAGCTGTAGTTCTGCTCTCCACCAGTAGGTGGTGACATGTTCACCTGAAGCTTCATGAACTGTGGGGATCGTTGAATCAATTAGCCCAAACAAAGCTTCAACTCTTCATCACTTCTGGGAAGCTTCATCCTTCTACTCCATGCATGGATCTGCTGCTACCTGCTTCCTGCTCTGTGTGGCAGCAAAGCCGCCTCAGGAGAACTACTGCCACCTAGAGGCCGGCGGGGAGACATTCGGTGTCTTATTCTGGTTAAACGTAATGTGACCAAAAAGGTTATTTAAAAAACATTTGGTTAAATAATGATTGAGATCTCAATACCACTTTTTTTTTACTATGGGGACAAAAAATTACAAATAATTAATAATAACTACACATTGTGCGTCGCCCGGGGAGCAGTGTGGGGTTAAGGGTCTTACTCAGGGACCCAGAGTGGCAGTCTGTGGGAGTGGGTTTAGAACTCTGAACCTCTAGATTCATAGCTCTACGCCCTAAGCACTAGGACGCCACTCCCCCCAAAGGCAGAGAAATATTTCTATTAGCATGAAAAAGTTCTTCCTCAGCAGATGTTAGTTAATCAGCAAATAAATGCAAAGATAGAAACCTAGATAGATAGTTTTCTATATTTTAAGGCTGTCTGGGTATCTTTTTTTATTTCCAATCAACTCTTATCTTTAGTGTGGATCTGATGCTCAGTTAGTGATTAATCTGGCAGCCCTGCTGTCACATGATCACAGCTAGGAATAAGTTAGCAGCCGTTATAATGACTATTTCTAATTTATAAAAGACAGAAAGGAAAAGCTCCTAATTGCAGGTCTGTGTCTCGCAGGTACTTTAACAAAGGCAGCGCCCCCCTGGAGTGTGATAAGGAGTTCTGGGACCTCAGGGACAGCGTGGTGCGATGTGAGCTCCTCATCCTCCGACAGCTCAACTTCCACGTCTCCTTTGAACACCCCCACAAGGTAGTGAAGGGCGTTTTGTGGTTAAAAAAGTTGGTAATGAGACTTAAATGGTTCCAGGATTATTTAGCAGGTTGGTCATCTTAAAATGTGTCATTTCAGGTGATCCTAATGTCTTATTTAGCAGAAAAAACCACAGATCTCTACTTATTCACTGGATTGCTGATTGCCTGTTGGTAGTACAGGGTGGAGTTAAACCACCGGCCGCCATATTGGTACTCCCTATAGACCAGTCTGAATGTAAACAATCCGTGTGCTCCGTGCTCAGTCATTTTCAGGGGGACTGAAGACTTTTAACATAAAGATAAATTCATTACTTTCACACAGACTGACTGTTTCATAGCATCAGTAGATTAACTTTAACTTATAATAAAAAGTAGTAGATAATAATTAAAGAAGTGTATAAATCATGTAATATAACATATTGTACAAATCTGTCACAATAAAATTAATGTGTTAATGAAGCAGAATAATACAGATGATCCAAAAGTGCTGAACTGATGATGAACATCAGTTTACAAGGATTTATTACATTGTTATGGTGATTACATATCTTACATGTCTGATAATACATGCAATATATATACATATATGGTTAAAATATAACATACAATATATATTTCAGTACATTTTTTTTCAAATTAGAAATAAACCAAACACTATAAAAATGACAGCATGATCCACTGAATAAAGAATTCCTACATTAACATTTCACAGTGAATTACTTTCTATTTCCTCTACTTTCTATTTTCTAACATTAGACCCAATGTCGGTGGCTAACTCAGTCAATGTCTTCCAGTCGGTCCCAGATAGCCAGACAAATGTTAGTGTACAGACTTTACTATAGGATCCATCGGCTATAGATGGATTTATTGGTTAAATTACCAGTGGAACGTCTTCCTGCAAACAGAAAACCGCTGGTTTTAGCAGCTAAATGCTGCACAGGGAGGCATCTTTACTGTGCGTCTCTGTGGGAGTGGGGAGTACCAACATGGCGGAGGGTGGCTTCACTTTTTTCAGGCAATCAGCAGTGAATTAATAGAGATCAGTGAAAAAAAACAGCTGGAGGTATGAAAACAATGGCAACAGTGCCACCTAGTGGCTGAGGTGTGACATCCTTACAGGTTTAATAATTTCTCTAAAGGATTACAGAAAGTGAGACGATTGTAAATGAAAAAGAACAGAAACAGGATCACAGGCTGAACGGCGTCTGAATTAAAAGAAGAAGGTTTGAGGTGAAGGATTGTTTCTGCTGCTTCCTGATTTTTTTTCCCGGTCGACTCTTTTCTCTCTGCAGTATTTACTCCACTACCTCCTGTCTGTAAAATCACTCGTCAACCGACACGCTTGGTCTCGAACCCCTGTGGCCGAGACTTCCTGGGCGTTGCTGAGAGACTGTTACCATGGGGACATGTGCATCCGCCACGTGCCGCAGCACATCGCGGTGGCCGCCCTCTACCTGGCGCTGAACAGCTACGGCGTGGAGCTGCCTGCTGGTGAGAAGCAGTGGTGGCAGGTGTGTGTTCATGATCACAATCAGACCCGTTCTGCATGTTTCACAACTACAACAATGTTCTGTTTCCTCAACAATTCAATATTTGACTGTCTGAAGCAAGACATGCTGAAGCTGAGGACAAAAGAAGCTCTAAAATAATGAATCAGTCTGTATTTATGACATCACTGTTGTTTCTATTTATATATAGAGGAAAGGCTCCTTTCTGCTAATCATTGTTCCTCATAATCACAAAGGAGCCGTCTGCGATCGAGTCGAGTTTTCAGCTCCTCATGTTGGTGAGTTTAGGGACCGAAGCTCTGAAATATTTCATGATGAAACAGCCGTGATTTAAACACTGAAGCTCCCGCTGGCCGTCGGTTTGACAGGTGAGATTTTAAACCAATGAAACGCAGCAGCAGTCATGATGTCATTGACTGAAATGGTTCTAGTGTGCCATATGAACCCATTATGGATATAAAGAAGTTAATATATATTACTTTAAAGGCTGCATTATATTTCAATTATTATTTTTTGTCCAAATCTGTATCAAAAATAAATCAGAAAATAAGACACAGGTTCAACGTATGAAATTACAATTTTATTAACAGAAACTGATTGATTCACCTCCGAACATTTACAACTTTTCACATGAATGAAAAACGTTTTTTTTTGGTCGCCGTTTTCTTTGCCTCGCCAAAGCTGCTGTTTAACCAGTTAAAGGATAAAATCTCTGCGTGAGACGGTGACGTTCAAACAGCTCCTGAACAAAACCAACGCGTTTATAGCTGCTACGACCAACAGATGGTAAAAGAGCCACAAGTCGCCGTCGCATTAGAGCTAGAATATTTTCTAATCATTTGATCTGACCTGTGTGATTATAGTAGACCAGCGGTTTGTCTTTGGGCCGCTGAGGTGTGGGCAATGCCAACCTTGAACAAAATGGGTCACGTTGATCATCCTCTTCGCTGTCATAATCTTAGCTGCTTGCTTTGGACCAGTCCTCCTCATCGGTCTCTCCATCGCCGCCCAAATCGCTATCATCAATATTCTGAAGCATTTTTAAAGCCTGTTTAGCTGTTAGATTTCTTCTGAAAGGAACTAGTTCCTAGCCTGACGTAGTCCGACTCAATTCTAGTCAGAATGAGTCTGATGCTGCTCCATAGAGCTGTGATTATGGGGCGTGTTTCGAACGAACCAGGAAAAAAAAAATGCCTCTGCATTCAATTGGATAGACCTACAACCAATAAGAGCAACGGAGTGCGTGACGTATGTTAAACTTCCCGACCTCAAACGTACAACGTTACCTACTATGTTTACAACATGGGATTAATATCATGACATTGCGAGTTATTTACTAAATCAGACAGTCAGATGATCTGTTACCATTTGTAAGTTAGATGAACTTCGTCCACGACGATACCCAGAACGTTGGCTTGAAAACCATCGGAGCCTAGCATGTTGTTCAGCAGCCAGGATTCCGGGCTTCCGAAAAGGAGCTGGCAATGACCGCTGGCTATGTCAACCTCGTCGTTCACGCCGAGTTGCATCGCCGTTTGGTGACGTACTTGATTACGTTACTGTTGATCATCTGTCCATCATCGTATAAAGCCCGCCCTGACAATTTGATTGGCCCGCCAGATATTGTGCGAGCATACTCGCGCTACTATTGAGCAATGCCAGACCGAACTTCCCGACCTCAAACATTGTGGGCGGGACTAAGTTCGGAATGGCACCCAGGCTACAAGTTCCAGAGTTTTCTAGGTAAACTGTTGGTTGCTAAGCAACAGTACTGAGAAAAAAGAAACAGTAAATCAACCACAGGAAGAATTTATAATGCAACTAATCGATCCGTCAAAATGACGCCTGTGGGAGATCGAGGTAAAATTAACCACATTTATTTTTTAGATTTTTATTTGAAAAACAACGTGAAAATGAAGGAATGAGAAAGTTAGTTAACATGAGCGACATAAGATTAATATAAATAAAGTTGTTTGAAAACGAGTTCTTTCTGGAAGCTTCTGATTATCCGCAAAAAAATAATATTTAGTTTCCAAACATAGAAAAAAATCCTTGTTTTCAGTCAGAAGCTGATTTCTTGGTTCATCTTCTAACAATTAGAAACGTTATTGAAAGTGAGGTTAAACTTTTAGCCAATATCCGCCTGTCTGTCCGCGGCGGATCCTTTCCTTCCTTCTCGCCGCGGCTCTTTGCTCCGACAGCCGACGAATAGTTATTAAAATGGCTGCGAGGCGTTCGGACAGAAACAGCCAAAACGCCGTCGGCTGGGAGGGAAGAGGTTAAACAGTCGGAGCAGAAAGTGAAGCTGAGGTGTAGAAGCGGAGCGCTGCGTTCAGACAATCAGAGCTGCTCAGAGATGATTACAGACCACTATAGACTCCCATCGGGCGTCAATCTGCCGTTCTGACTCCTATTGGGAGTCGATCTGCCGCTCTGACCCTCATCGGGCGTCAATGTGCAGCTCTGACCCACGTCGGTCGGCGATCTGCAGCTCTGACTCCCATCGGGCGTCAATGTGCAGCTCTGACCCTCATCGGGCGTCAATCTGCAGCTCTGACTCCCATCGGGCGTCAATGTGCAGCTCTGACCCTCATCGGGCGTCAATCTGCAGCTCTGACTCCCATCGGGCGTCAATGTGCAGCTCTGACCCTCATCGGGCGTCAATCTGCAGCTCTGACTCCCATTGGGCGTCAATGTGCAGCTCTGACCCACGTCGGTCGGCGATCTGCAGCTCTGACTCCCATCGGGCGTCAATCTGCAGCTCTGACTCCCATCGGGCGTCAATGTGCAGCTCTGACTCCCATCGGGCGTCAATGTGCAGCTCTGACCCACGTCGGTCGGCGATCTGCAGCTCTGACTCCCATCGGGCGTCAATGTGCAGCTCTGACCCACGTCGGTCGGCGATCTGCAGCTCTGACTCCCATCGGGCGTCAATGTGCAGCTCTGACCCACGTCGGTCGGCGATCTGCAGCTCTGACTCCCATCGGGCGTCAATGTGCAGCTCTGACCCTCATAGGGCGTCGATCTGCTGCTCTGACCCTAAACGGGCATCGATCTGCCGCTCTGATCCCCGTCGGGCGGCAATCTGCCGCTCTGAACCCCATCGGGTGTCGATCTTCAGTTCTAAATCCCATCGGGTGTCGATCTTCAGCTTTGACCCGGCATCAATGATGATTCCTACCTTCCCCCCCCACAGCGTGATCCTGCCGCCACATGTAACCCTGCAGGTCAGCTCTGCCAGGTTTTATAAGCCTTTCTGCTGCGTTGTGAGGTCTTAACCAGAACCTCCAGGATTCTCTGTCCTTGTTTTAAGTTTTCAGATAAAATCCCTTTAAAGAGTTTTATGGCTAATTAATGTAAAGGAGACACTAACTAATCGCCCGCATCATGGCTTCCTGCTGATGACGTCTGGTGCTCCTTCATACCAGAGTTAGTATTCAGTTTGATCATTTAATTTCACAATAATTCAGCGGATCATTGTAGGTTTCCTAAAGCATCATCCTGAATCCTTAGAATCGCTTTACAAACTGAAGCAAATCGTTTTTCATCTCATGATTAAATGGATGCTGATGTATTTTCTGCCTAGCAACAGTTTAAAGCAGTGATGTGGTCCAAAGGTTGATGTGCTGCTGAGCAGACTGAATGCCTACAGTTCTGTTTGGCGTTTCTTTTGAGCGTGATGACATCACAGCTGCAGCCAGTCTTCAGAGGCTCACACCGCTTATGTAACATCAATTACTGTTAGAGTTGGTTTTCCCCCATGAACGTGATTTTGTCTCAGATTTTCCTTTAGAAAGTCATTTCATTCAGATTCAAATGAAGGAACGTCTCTTTATGTGCAGAGCGTTCGCTTTATCCCTAAAGGCCACAGAATCTGGGTCATTTGAAATGCTGTGTGCACCTTTGATGTCCCTGTTTACTGAGGTCAGGTGTGGCCTTTGCTTGTGTGTGTGTGTGTGTGTGCGTGTGTGTGTGTGTAGGTGCTGTGTGAGGATGTGACCAAAGCAGACATCGATGCCGTGATCTCAGACCTTCTCCGGCTCTATGACATGGAGGCCAAATGCGTCTGAAGAACACGGCGACGGAGAGGAGCTCCTGTTGGTGACCATGAAACTGAAGACCTGAACCTACTATGAACAGGGGGGGAGGGGGGATCCAGGTGCATGTCAACCATCTGTGCATCTGAGGCACAATGACTTTATTTGCTCCAGTTATGGAGCTGATGAAAATCCTTCCTGCAGTACCATCGTCCGCCACACAGGGGAGACATTTATAGCCTTTGATCTGCGCCTCAAAGCCAAACATGGCGGCTTTTTAATCTGAGCTGCTGCAGAACTCAGAGCTTCATGCTTCTGATCTCACTAATTAAACAATAAATCAGGATTTCATAAAAATCTGATCTGACCTGCTTTGTCTCTGTTTTCTATTTAACCTATTTCTATATTTAAAATCCAGAGTCTATTCTGAAACCATTGTTATTGTGAGTCTATTTTTATTTAAATTTTTCAGTTAGGATAAAATTACTATTTTATGAAACCTGGCTAAAGAATATCCTCACAGCTTGGTCGGTTCTAAAGTATTAGAACCTCCGTTTATTCAATTCTATTCAGTTTATTTCTATAGCTCCAATTCACATCATGTCATCTCAGGTCTCTTTCCAGTTCAACCAGATCATCCAGTCAGATTGATTCAAAGTTTTCTGTCTAAGGAAAACTTTACGGTACTTATACAGACGGTACAAAGTTACAAAAAGAAGAGGTTTTCTTGCTTTTCTATTTGGATGAAGGAAATTAAGGGTTAAATGTTCAAAAGAGTTTTAGGTATTAACTGTCTTGGTAGTAATCAGTAAGTCAGACTGAAAGATTGTTGCTACTCCTCCTCGCCCAGAACTTTTGTCTACGTGAAAATTTACATGATGAAGGAGATATCTCATTATGCTCACATAATCCTCTTGCTGCAGCCAGGTTTCTGTAAGGCAACATAAGTCAATGTATCACAAATCAAGTCATAAACTAGCAGACTTTTAGAGGAAAGAGATCTAATGTTAAACAGACCACATTTAATCGTTTTAACTTTTTCCCCAATTGGAGTTATTTTAATTTTTACTAGATTATCATGATTTACTCCTTTGGGAATATTTGCTAATTTATTAGAGTTTGGTCGTGGGCAAGACACTGTCTGGATGGAGTAAAGAGTGGGTAACAGTAGAGAAGCTGCAGAGAAGTCTGTTAAACTATGACTCTGCTTCCTGGTCTGCACCCTGGTCTGTCTCTGGATCTCAGGTAAAAAACACATCCTTGTCTGAGAATGGGATCATGGATAATAAAAATATCAAACTCTATGATCTCCCAGTTTATAAAAAAATATTTGTATTAAACTCTTATATCTCCTCAATAAGCTGCTTTCTAGAAGTGGAATATCAGTCACTTTCTGAAGGTTTTTAAACTGTTTTGTTTGAATTTCATCAGTTTTTCATTATTGTATTATAGTTCCAGTGGATAAACCAGCGCTTTAAAAACTTAAAACAGTAACAGGAACTGTTGAAGATGTTTGTTTCTATTATAATTCTTTAATTAACCGATAAAGAGTAAAAGATTTCCCATCTTTGCTGACAGGACTTTAGCTCAAGTTCACAAAACGTCACTGAAAAATTCCCAGAAGAATAGATGTGTAAATATTTCCATGAAGGTAAGATGTGAAAGAGGGGAGGAGCTATTTTCTGTGTTGTTCATGATGATGTCATGAACCAGGGCGTATATGTTGACGTAGAAATGATCTGCATCACACAGCAGGTCTCAGCATCCAGTCTGCTGCATAAAGGCAGACATAAAGATCCAATCATCAAAGTCCACCTTCCAACTCTCCTCCTACCTCTGCTGGGAGAGAGACGCTGCTCCTTTGGCTTTTCTCCACATTTGTTCTTCATTCTTTATATTTTTTCTAATCAAACCACTTTATTTAAGCAGCCGGTCACAGCAAACTGCTGCAGCGTCTGCAGACGCCTGCTGGATCAGGGTTCCCAAAGTCAGGATGGAGACCCCTGGAGGGAAGCGTCAATGTAAACGTCAAACAAAATAAATAAACATTTATTTATACTGGGTACGGAAAGTATTCACACCTCTTTATAAATATTCACTTTTTTGTTCCATTGCAGCCATTTGCTAACATCAATAAAGTTCATTTTATTTCTCATTAATGTTCACTCAACTCCCCATCCTGACAGTGTGTTTTTTTTTTTTTTTTTTTTTTGATATACTCTACTAATCCCAGAGGAAATTACTTCTCTGAATTTAACCCATCCCCTTGGGGAGCAGTGAGCTGCCATTGTGAGGCGCCCGGGGAGCAGTGTGAGGTTAAGGGTCTTGCTCGGGGACCCAGAGTGGCAGTCTGTGGGAGTCTGTTTAACCTACACTGTTTGCAGAATCATTAGGCAAGTTGTATTTTTGAGGATTATTTTTATTATTGGGCCACAATTGTGTTCTCAATCAACCCAAAAGACTTGTTAATATCAAAGTTTCATATTTTTGGAAGATGATGTTTTTTTTTTAAAGATTTGGATATTTTGTGAAGATGTCTGTGTGTGCAGCAAAATATTACTGCATTAGCAACGTTATAAAAAACAAATATATACCCATCTCACTGGTTTATTTTCACCAGGTAAACCAATATAACAACTTAAAATTCAGAAATAAATATTTGCGACATTTGAAAACAAAAAAAGAAAAAAATCAGTGACCAATATATCCACCTTACTCCACCATGACGCTCTAAATCCTTCCATCCATAGATTCTGTCAGAGTCTAGATCTGTGTGCGATCCTCATGGCGTGCAGCAGCCTCCACAGCCTCCCAGACACTGTTTTCCCTCCCTGTAGATCTCATCTTTCATGAAGGACCACAGGTTCTCCATGGGGTTCAGATCAGGTGAACAAGGGGGCCATGTCATTATTTTTTCTCCTTTTAGACTTTTTCTGGCCAGCCACGCTGTGGTGTATTTTGATGCGTGTGACGGAGCATCGTCCTGCATGAATATCAGGTTTTTTCTGGAATGATGGCGTCTTCTTGTTCCACTGTTTGAAGAGGATGTCTACTAGAAACTGGCAGTAGGTCTGGGAGTTGATCTTGACTCTGTCATCAACCCGAAAAAGGTCCCAGAAGCTCATCTTTGATGATAGCAGCCCATAGCCTTACCCCACCTCCACCTTGCTGGCGTCTGAGTGGATAAGGAACTTGCTGCCCTTTACTGATCCAGCCTGGTGCCCATCCATCCATCTGGCCCATCTAGACTCTCTCTCATTCCATCAGCCCATAACACTTTGTAGAAATCAGTCTGCAGAGATTTCTTGTTCCAATCTTTATGTTTTGTCTCGTGCGTCTTGTTCAAAGGTGGGTTTTTATTCAGCTTTCCTTACCTTGGCCAGGTCTCTGTGGATTGAGCACCTCGTGCTTCTCGGCGCTCCAGACATGTTGCAGCTCTGAAATATGGCCCAACTGGTAGCTTCATGCTTGATCCTAGTCAATTCATGGGGAGTTATTTTGCGTCTTCTTTTTTCAACACGCTTCTTGCGCCCCTGTTGGCTATTTGCCATGAACCGCTTGATTGTGCGATGATCCCGCTTCAAAAACTTGGTTATTTCCAAACTGCTGCTCCCCTCTGAAAGACATCTGACAATTTTTGACTTTTCAGAATCTGTCAAATACCTTTTCTGATCCACTTTGCCAAAGGAGAGAAAGTTGCCTAATAATTAACCATACCTTATATAGGGTGTTGATGTCATTAGGCCACGCCCCTTCTCGTTACAGAGATGCTCACCACCTGATTTACTTAATTGGTAGTTGCTTTCAAGCCTCTACAGCTTGGAGCAGGAAAACATGTATGAAAAGGATGATGTGGATGAAATATTAATTTGCCAAATAGATCTGCACACACTGCTCATCACCCGCCCAATAGAATCTCAACAGGGAAACATGGTGGTGGCAGCATCATGCTATGGGGTGCAGGGACAGGACGACTGGTTGCAATTGAAGGAAAGACGAATGCGGCCGAGTCCAGAGATATTCTGGATGAAAACCTCTTCCCGAGTCTCAGGACCTCAGACCATGACCCTAAGCTCACAGCTAGAAGAACAACTGTGGGACCATTCCTGACTGGCCCAGCCAGAGCCCTGACCTAAACCCCATGGAGCATCTCTGGAGAGACCTGAAAATGGCCGCCCACCATCGCTCAGCATCCAACCTGACCTGCAGAGGGAGAACGGCAGAGGATCCCCACATCCGTCATCATTCCCAGGAAGACTCATGGCTGAACGAGCTCAAAATATTAAGCAATATAATATCTTCATTTATTGTTTTTATTTAAATATTTTTATGAAAGCTGTCGGAAGCAGTTTTTGTTAGAATTTCAGGAAACTTTAAAAAGCCAAATCTGCTGGTACTTTTTTTGGATTAACTTCAATCGATTTGGAAAATCTGTGTTATATACAATTATTTCTTTAATCCGCTTGAATTTGCTCTGACAGCTGATTGAAGCTGCTTTATGATGATATCTGTATTATAACTGCTGTTATAAATGAACACATCCAACATGAATCCATCCATCCATCCATCCATCCATCCATTATCTTACACGCTTGTCCCAATTGGGGTCGCGAGGGGTGCTGGTGCCTATCTCCAGCAGTCAATGGGCGAGAGGCAGGGTACACCCTGGACAGGTTGCCAGTCCATCGCAGATCCAACATGAATCTCCCTCTAAAATCAAAATAATCACTAATAAATCCACTAGAATGCTACTAAAGTATATTTGTATGATTTATTCAGACACTACAGATCAAACTAAATATTTATAAACACTACGTCCTCATTAGGTGCCTTTCCATTAAAATATGAGCCTTTGATATTCTGCTTATGTCCAATTTTCTGTGTTTCTGTTAAATAAGACATTCATGCGATGAAGGTTCTAACTCATCATCCTCCAGTTACTTTATTTTTTCTATTGAGAAACATGAGTTTTTACAAAAAACTGATTTTTTTCACATTATTACCATTCGTATAATTTCAGGGCCGGCCCTCAGTATAAGCAAAGTAGGTGACTGCTAAGGGCCTCTGCACCCCCCACCCCCAAGAACAATTTACTGATAACTTTTTTTGCATGTGTGGTGAGATCTATGATATTACGACGGAGTATTAGGGCCACACATGAAGAGAAAAAATATTTTTGCCATGACGAGATTAAACTCGACATGTCGACATTAAAGTCGACATGTCGACATTAAACTCAACATTTCGAGAATAAAGTTAAAATGTCATGTTGAGTTTAATCTCGACGTGTTGACTTTAAACTTGCCCTGTCGACCACCTGTCGGGCATTCGTGGGTGAGCGGTTAGGGTGTCAGACTTGGAT